ATTACTTCTGCTGTGACTTGATGTTGCTGAATAGTGATTTGGCTTCATCATGTGACTCGAACTAGTTTAGCTATGTTATGTACAGCCTAGTTATCCATACAAACTAGAATAAACCTTGTGAAGTATGAACATGTGTTACTATTCAAATCAATTATTACTGCATAGAAATTTAATGTAAGGTGTCATAACTGAGATTCCTGGCGGTTCAATAGTTGGTTGTACTTTTCATCATGAGCCTTATTCTGCACCTGTCTAGGCAGCTGGCTGATTCTTCTTTTATCCACTTAATAACCTAGTACTTTTGTAACTTTAGACAATATGACTTCATACCATGTTTCGTAAATCTGAAGTGTTAATTTGGACCTTTCCGAAGATATTTTACAAGGAAGTAGTTGCCAAGAGTGTTATAAATCATGGTGTCTGATTCCATGGAGCAATCGTTCTGCAATCATTAATGCAAATGCTTCAGGAGTAGTCACCTCACCAATAGATAGCATCTCTTCCAATCAAAGTAACTCATGAATATGTTAGTATCTCACCAACCTGAAGAGTTTCTTATCTAATAGAAATACAATATCCCCTTACTTAGCTAACGTTTGCATTGACTAGATAAGCATCGGCCCCATGTCTAGTAGTGGAAGTGATTGCCAATTGTTTTCAAAAGAAAAGTCATCTTGGCAAAAGATAATTTATAAACCCACTAAGGGAAGCATAGCTAAGTTGTTCCTGTTGTGCTCATTCATAAGAGCCAGAGTCAAGACCTGTTAATGTGCACTGCGGAAGAAAGTAGCTTCAAATAGGTGTGCAGCAAAGAAAAAATCGTCACTTGCTGTCTGAAAGTATGAAGATCTCATATTTGCTTCTTATGCAATTCTTTCTACATGAAGTTGGTCTTAAATTTTCTTACTCTTTTTAAAGTGAAACTCTTTGAAAGTGAACAATCATAAGAAACCAGGAATCTCCGTCATAAGGAAACATGAACTTGCCATCCACATGAGATCTTATTTTCTGAAGTTATATGTACTATAAAGCTATAATTATAAAAAGCTAATGAGGAATCGGGCTTGGGTCAAGGCGGTAGTAGCTGGATTTTCATAGCGCCATAATACAATCCTTTTCTAATACATCAAATGAATTTTATTTAACAACTTGTATATGTGGAGATTCGTTTTCTGCTTGTGTGATTACACCATATTGGAATTTTCTCAGGAATGGTTGTCTGGGTTCAGTAGCTTGTATTAATGATTCTAAATAATAATATAGTCCTCATTTCTAATACATCAAATGTATTTGATGTAACACCCATGCTTGCATATAACAGAGTTGGTTTCTGGTAGAGAATCATAATCCATAATGGATTAAGCTTTTTCTCAAATCTTGAAGCTAATTCGGATGTTGTCGTTGTGTGTGTCCTAGGATTTAAAAGTAAAAGGAAACAAAAATCAATTATAAAGAATGAGAGATTCATTCTTTCCTAAAGTGGTAAAAACCCTAATATTTGGAGCTAATTTTAGGTACTTACTTTGATAGCTCATGAGTAGCCGACCCCAAATAATAGGGATCAGGCCAAGATGATGATGATTTTGATGGCCCATGGGGCCTGCCCCTCCCCCTCTCTCTCTCTCTCTCTCTCTCTCTCCTCCCCGATACTCTTTCTTAAAGCTTCTTTTCTTTCTCTCTCCTTTATTATGAAAGAGAAAGTTGCAAAACCTTTTTCTCTGCTTTTTTCTTCCGCTCTGGTTTTCTTTGTTTTTTCACTATTGATGTAAGACAAGGGTTCTCTCTCTCTCTCTCTCTCTCTTGGAAATCATAATCATCATCATCCAAGACTTACCCTAATTATTTGGGGTGTTGTCTACATGAATCCTATTATGCCATTTCGCTATATCAAGGGCCATACCCTCAGTCAGAACATAAGTCACCATATCTCTCACTATTTCCAACTATGTTCTTTTGGGCCTTCCCTTTGCCCTTTTAGATTCTTCCACTTGAACCAATTTTCCCCTCCTAACGGTTGTTCTAGGTCGACGCTATGCATGGCCGACCACCTAAGCCTAGATTTCCCATCTTATCTCCTATTGGAGTCACCCCGAAGTTTCCTCAGATGCACTCATTTCAAAGTCTCCTTTTTTGTCGTGCTAATCATCCATCTCAACATCTTAATATAAGTTGCACTCATTTTATGTATATGTTGTTTATTGACTGCCATTCCATCCCATAGAGCATGACTAGTTGTCGTGCCAATCATCCATCTCAACATCTTAATATAAGCTGCACTCATTTTATGAATATGTTGTTTATTGACTGCCATTCCGTCCCATAGAGCATGATTGGTCTTACAACCATTCTATAGAACATATCCTTCAGTTTCATTAGTAATGCGACAATCCCATAAGACTATGGAAACACGTCTCTACTTCGTCCACTTAGCTCTAATTTTATGCGCGACTTATTCCTCTATCTCTTCATTCTCATGGATTATGGATGCAAGATATTAAAAATAGTATTTTTTAGGTACTTCTTGTACATCAATTTTAACTAATTCCTTACTATAATTTCATTCCATGTATTTTACTTTAATTTTCCTAATTTTGAAATCTTTTGATTCTAGAGCATCGCTCCAAAGTTCTAATTTTGCGTTGATGCCATCTCTAGTCTCATCAATCAAAGCTATGTCATCTACAAACAATATTTACCTTGGTGCCTCATCCCGTAGATGCGTAGTTAACTCGTCCATAACTAAAACAAAAAGATATGTGCTCAACGCTTACCCTTGATGTAGGCCTACTATCACTGAAAACTCACTTATTTCCACTAGTAGTCCTCATACTAGTTAGGGCTTCCTTGTACGTATCTCTCACGATGTCAATATACCCTATAAAGACTCCTTTCTTTATATGGAGGTCATTTTTTTTTTCTTCCTTAACGTCTCAGTCAATTGCCTAAGTAGGAAAATAGCCTCAATTGTTGACCTCCTTGGCGTAAAACTGAACAAATTTTTTTGATAGCACTTGCTTCATGTCGTAGTCATTGCTCAATCACTCTCTCCTACGGCTTCATTTTGTGGCTATAAGTTTGATCCTTCGATAGTTCATCCAAATGTTTTTGATAACACTTGCTTCATGTCGTAGTCATTGCTCAATCACTCTCTCTCACGGCTTCATTTTGTGGCTATAAGTTTGATCCTTCGATAGTTCATACAATTTTGCATGTCTCGTTTGTTCTTGTATACTTTTTCTCCATTCATTTGGTAGTTTTTTTGTTCTCAAAATCGTATTGAATAGCTTAGTCAACTAGGGTATGCTAATTTTTCCCATGCACTTCCAGACCTCTATTGAGATAACATCTAGTCTCATCAATTAAAGCCATGTCATCTGCAAACAACATTTGCCATGGTACCTCATCCCGTAGATGCCTAGTTAACTCGTCCATAACCAAAACAAAAAGATGTGGGCTCAATGCTTGCCCTTGATGTAGGCCGACTATCACTGAAAAACTCACTTATCTCCACTAGTTGCCTGCACACTAGTTAGGGCTCCCTCATACGTATCTCTCACGATGTTAATATACTTTATAAAGGCTCCTTTCTTTTCCAACACCCACCAAATTAATTATCTAGGCACCTTATCATATGCATTCTTTAAATCAATAGGGGCCATATGGACGTCTTTTCTTTTGTCCCATTAACTTCTCAATTAATTGCTTAAGTAGGAAAATAGCCTCAATTGTTGACCTCCCTAGCGTAAAACCAAACAAATTGTTTGATAACACTCATTTCATGACATAGTCATTGCTCAATCACTCTCGCCCACGGTTTCATTGTGTGGCTATAAGTTTGATCCTTTGATAGTTCATACAATTTTCCATATCTATCTCATTTGTTCTAGTATACTTTTTCTTCATTCATTTGGCATTTTTTGTTCTCAAAATCTTATTGAATAGCTTGGTCAACTAGGGCATGCCAATCTTTCCCATGCACTTCCAGCCCTCTATTGAGATAACATCTGGTCGTAAAGTCTTTCCTATCTTAATCTTTCTCAAAGCTTCTTTCACTTCAGATATCCTAATTTTACAAATGTATCTATGACCTCCAGACTCATTTATGTCAAAGTTCTTTCTAACGAGTTTCCTTATCTGAATGTCATTTCCCTCTAGATTCTCCTAAAACTTCTTTTGTCGCTTTCTTGATACAATCAGCCATCGTATTCCATATACCATTAACTTCATCATGAGAATTCCATTTTCTTTCTTTTATTGGAAATTGTTCATCAATTTGGTCCACTTTCTTTATTTGAAATAATTCGCAAAAAATGGGTGTGGAAGGGTATCACTACAAATATGGGGCGTGAGGGGCTTAGGGTACCTCAGTTCCATGTTTTCTTCGCTTTATTATTTGGTTTTCTTTTGTTTATCAACCAGAATTCAATCTAGATAAATACACCATAGTGAAATTATATTTGGAATTGTATGGAGAGTCAGGAATTGAGCAATTTGTATACTTCGCGATAGACTTAACACAACATTGCTCTCCTTCTTAGGGCTGAGTGGATCCCCAGCATGCCTTTGGAACTTCTACTAACTGTGTCTTGATTCATGATTTTAATTGCTTATGACTTTACGTTTTTCTCTGCGGTCTTATCGAAACCCGTGCACTCTCTAGTTGGCTTCTTGACAATACTCTCTCTCTCTCTCTCTCTCTCTCTCTCTCTCTCTCTCTCTCTCTCTCTCTCTCTCTCGGTGGCAGAACTTGGCGCGATGAAATGCTTTACTATGGGGAACATTTTAAAGAGTCGTTTCTTGTTCACATGAATAGGCACTTCTAGAATAATTTGGTTCGTGTGTGTATAGGTGCACAAGTGGGTGCATCTATCATGGTCTGCACTGATAAATTGTTTATAAGATCTGATCCTTCATGCCACATCTCGTTGGTAACTAACAATGTTACATGTTTTACCATTTATGCTTTTATGAATAACTCGTTTTGATGTATCTGTTTGAAGGTCCAAATGGAAGTGGGAAAAGCTCTCTCTTTCGGGTTCTTGGAGGGCTTTGGCCGCTTGTATCTGGCCGTATTGTGAAACCCGGGGTTGGTTCTGATCTTAATAAGGAGATATTCTATGTACCACAGAGACCATATACAGCTGTTGGAACGCTTCGTGACCAGTTAATATATCCACTTACAGCAGATGAAGAAACTGAACCACTTACATATAATGAAATGGTTGAGCTTTTAAAAAATGTACGTATATTTTAGTATTTGTTTTTTCATATTGAAGGAACTCATAATCATTCAAACCTTGCATAAATATATTATGATTTGTAATATTTCGCCTTTTGTCAGGTTGACCTTGAGTATTTATTGGATCGCTATCCACCTGAAGAAGAAATCAATTGGGGGGATGAGCTTTCTCTTGGAGAACAGCAGAGATTGGGGATGGCTAGGTTATTCTATCACAAACCAAAATTTGCTATTCTTGATGAGTGTACAAGTGCTGTTACAACTGATATGGAAGAACGCTTCTGCGCAAAAGTCCGTGCAATGGGGACCTCTTGCATCACAATATCTCACAGACCTGCTCTTGTAGCATTTCACGACATGGTTTTGTCTTTGGATGGAGAAGGGGGATGGAATGTTCACTCTAAGAGGTTTTAAATTTTCCTAGCTTTGGTTCTCTTACATTTGCATTTTGCTAATGTGAGTTAAAATTGATTTTTTTAATTAATTTTCCCATGGTAGGGAGGACTCCCCAGTTCCAGCTGTAACATCTCCCGCTCTACTGAGATCGTCAGAATCAGAGCGTCAAAGTGATGCAATTGCAGTTCAAAAAGTATTTTCTTCTACAGGAAAGGTCTGGACAGTACTTAAAGTACTTATTCTTTCCAAATCAGAACCAGTTATGATGGCCCACATATAATCAGCTCTATCAAAAACTGTACTATGGGTATTTTCTTATCACTCGATGGTTTGCATTGCCAGGATACTGCATTTGCTAATTCCAAAGCGGTAGATTCATACATAAAGGAAGTGCTAGCGAAATCTCCACATGTTGATAACAGAATTTCGGTGCCCATGGTCCCACAGTTGCTAAACACTCCGAGGGGAATGCCAGCTAGAGTAGCTGCGATGTGCAAAATTCTTGTGAGATATCTCCAACGTAGAATCTTTCATTATTGTTGATACCTTTTTCCTTTAATATCATTCTATCTATGTGAATGGCTTGTCGTAGACATGGCTTGCAGTAGTTACCTAGTGTGAGAGCTTTGGTGTAATGTTGCACAAATGAAAACATTTATTTTTGAGCTACTCTGGTATCATTTAAGAAAATCAAGCCTATTTGTTTGCTCATGGGTGTGTACGTGGCTGTTTTGTGCATACACAAATACTGTTTACATATGATTCAACCAATCTGTTGAATTAAATCTCTGCTAGTCTTTTTTTTTTTTCACATACACACACATAAATACTGTGTACATACGATTCAACCAATTTGTTGAATTAAATCTTTGGTAGTCTTTTTTTATATATATTTAGGTATATGTTGATAATTGATGGAGGGTCAAATTTCCCCTGCATCAATAATGTTGTGGCAGACCTATGTTATTATGTTATTCACCCCCATCTGGGATCATCTCCATTTATATGTTCCTTGGCGTAACTTTATGTGATCGGTTATTCTGTTGTCGTTTAGAGTCTTTAGACTAGTAAACTTGCAAGAAAGAGAAAAGTTATTATGTTATTCTTGAAAGTATTATTTTGCTGTTTCTAGCTGATAAGGACTGATTCCATCATTGTTTTATTTCAATAAAACTATTTGACACATTCTCAGGATTTGTCCTGAACTTCTCAACATTATCTTTTTACTTGGTATTAAAGCAGTAATTTCCCTAGTGCTTTTCAGTTTTTTCTTAATCTGCGGGGTAGCTGTACATTGATTTTTTAAGTTCATTTGATGTAACCTTGTCTTTCCTTTGATTTATTCTATCCCTTTCATTATCATCATCATTGTCCAAACGTTATTCTAATTATTTGAGGTTAGCTACATGAATCTTGTTCTTCCATTCTTCTCAATCAAGGGTCATACCTTAATAAGCCCAAAAGTCACCATATCTTTTCTCACACCTTTTATCCATGGCTTTTCGGGCCTTCCCTTTACCATTTTAGAGCCTTCCACTTGAACCAAATCGTACCTCCTAACCGGTGTTGTATTAGGTTTATGTTGCACGTGGTCAGCCCACCTAAGTCTACTTTTCCTCATCTTATTACCTATTGAAGCCACGTCTAAGTTCCTTCGTATGTATTCGTTCTGAATTCTAACATTGATTCAGGATTCATGAAAAGATGTGACAAGGTTTTACGTTGGCTGCCTACCTAATGCAACCCACCTCCTTTCTGTGCATGTGGCAAACAAACTCTCCTTGGAAATCCTTGTATATCTATTTAAACTGCATATTTGAAATTCTTGCATGAGTACTCTCTTTTCCTTGGGTCCCGTGTTTATGTTATTTTTTCTGATTCATCATTCATATCTGGACTTTGAGCAATCTTCCCAATGGATAGAATGAAGAATTTTCTTTTTGTGCTTTGCTTATGTAGTAAAAGCTTCCATTTGTAGGTACCCACTTTACTTGATAAACAAGGAGGACAGTTGTTTGCAGTGGCTTTACTGGTTATGTCTAGGACATGGATCTCAGATCGTATTGCTTCCTTAAATGGTGAGCTAAGAAAGCTGAGCAGATTTCATGTAATCCGATGTTATTGTTATTCTTAAGATGGCATTTACATTGATATAGGAAAATGACCCATTTAAGAGATATTTAGCCACTCTTTAAATGGGAATATATTCTATATAAATCAAACATGGCCATATTCTCAGCCTCCTTATGTTTATTAATTTCTTTATAAATGTGTTATTATGGCAGGGACTAGTGTCAAGTTTGTTTTGGAGCAGGATAAGGCATCATTCATGTGGTTAATTGTCATCAGTGTCATCCAAAGTGCTGCATCATCCATTGTTGCCCCTTCTTTGAGGTTACTCCAGTTTTAGTTTGAGTCTGCCATTTTTTCTTGCCCCATATCTAAATAGAGTGCATGGTTTCCATGTTGACGAATTCCTTCATTAAGTGAATAAGAAATTGCGCCATAGATCTCCTATTCAGGATATTCTATGAAAACTTTTGATCTTGGTCTGTATTTACCTGACTTACACTTCAGGAACTGGTATATTATTTTAGCATGTTGTGTATTTGTTGCATGCATTTAAAAAAGAAATAGAGTAGGCCTCATCTAAAGCGATCTTGGCATCCCTTTTATTGATTATGCTCCAGAATGTTTGTATTGCTCTATTAGAGTTCACATTGTCAGTAACAGGCTATATTCTTGAGCTCTTACGTGTTGGATTGTTTGTGCTCAGTGTCTCTGAACTGATAAGGATGCTTATGTCCTATGAAGCAATTCACTCTTTTAAAGATGTTTTAAATTTCTGCTGCATGGTGCGATTGATTTGATTTAATTTGAAGAAACTTGTTTTCATTCTTTTGCTGTAAGCAGTTGTTGGTATTTTCTTTTAAAAACACGGTTATTTATATGGTCTTGTTCTGAAAAGCTGACAGGGCATTATTGAATATAGAGTGAGAATGAAAACAACCTACGCACTTCTTAGAACTTAATGTTGTTCTTTTCTAAACTCTATTTTCATTATTAAATTTTGCACGACTTGGTTTTAGATTCTGTGCCAATCCATAGCAGTAGAACATGTCTGGAAGGTCAGAGTTTACTGTGCCAACATAAGGATGGTTGAGACAGTCTGGTTCAATCATTTTTTGATGGCATTTTATTGCAAGGGCATGTAGTTTCTTATGAGTGACGTATCACAAATGCGATTGTCTTTTTGCATATAACTGTTGAATTTGTCCTTTCTTTCACACTGTAGTTATTGGAATTTGGGAAGTTTAACCACCCAATTTAACTTTGCCAGAAAATTACTGATGGTCCTTAGAGAACCCCCTTTTGTCCTTGTGAAAATATTGAACTGAACCTTAATTGAGACTATAATCCTTTCATATTATGAGTATTTGTGATCAATGAGTTTTGGACTTCTTGAAAAGATTAAAATAAGATGCTGATTTATCCACTGTAGGCTAAAAGTTTGTGCATAAACTTGCCACCTTTTGGCTGATCTTTTGTTCATATACCACTGCATATATGATGTGATTATATGTTTTAAGGTTCCTAGTTACTGCGCTGAGCCAGTGTCCTGCAGTTGTTTTCAATGTGATCAATCTAGACTGCATGCTGATATCGTCAGGCTAGTGATTCAGCTTAAAGTGGTCAATTCCCAAGTTTTGGTTTTGGCTAGGTTCTATGACTCCAAAAGTTATCTTGTTAAAGTTTTAAAAGCAATTACAATGGAAATACTACAATGTATGTTTTAGACTTATGAACTTGGCATAATCACTAGCATGCCTTGTGTTGTTCCTTTTTATCTAGAGACATTGTGGGTTTAAATACTTTCCCACTAGCTTTTCAATCCCATACAGAACTCAGATGATAATAACTACATCCCTCAGTGTTGAAGTGAGTTAAACCTGCCATAGAAAGGTAATGTAGTGAAAATACATGAACGCAAACATAAATTCCAGCAATCTATAAACAGCACATTGCAATAGAAAACTGAAATTTTGATTGAATGGCAACAAATCTACCAAAAACGAGCCATACAAAATAGCGATACCCATAAGGAGGTTCTCCGAGCTTAGGACCCTAAAACATCCTTGGGCTGCTTTTCGGTCCCTCAGGAACACTATGTACGTTAATTCTCGAAACGAGAAATGCTACTCTCGTTTTCCTGAAAAAATCTTAATCAGCTATTCTGTAACTATCAATGAAATAACAAATACTATCATGGTTGAAGCAAACCCTTGTAAAATGTGGTTTGCACCATGTTTGGCCGTGTTGCATTAGGTTAGATTTAAAAGGTCAGTTCAAACACCCTGTTCCCTTCACCTCCCATGCAACTTTGTTGATACTCTCTCATAATTGCCAATTTGGTGGTCAAGACATTTAATCCCTCTCTTTGCATTGTTTGGAGGCCCACCAGCTTCAGCCATTGATCTAAGATTGCTTCGTGGTGGATGGTTATAATATGGTTGTTCAATGCAACTGGCTTCTGCAACCGAAAATGACATGCTATTGATGTCGCTACGTGTAGCTGAAGGCTCTGGTTTCGTAGGATATGCCGTAATGTGCAAGTAGTTTCGGTGATATTCTCTTTTCTGATCATTCTTTTTGACTTCTCTTTTTGCTGGGTGCTAACCAATTGTTGTACTCTATAACAGTGTTCTAAATGTGTAATACGCCTAAGGACTCCATATTTGGAAGATAACTTTTAGTTCCTTATGGCTGCAATTGGACTGGTAGGCCTAATGATGATTGTTCTTCGTTCTGTTAGCGTTGTGATCAAATAAACATTTTCCACTTCTTTAGACTATAGTTTCTGGGATCTTCGAACCTAGGTGGCTTTCACTCTAGAATAACCTAGGTGGCTTTCACTCTAGAATCTTACTCGGGCATTCCGGGAATGCAACTTTATTTTTATTATTGTTGCAGCGTTTGTTGGTTCTAATTAAAGTAAAGTATATATACTCTTTAAGGTTGGGAGAAAGATCCCCAAAAAGTTAATATCGATATCCCAAAAAGTTGGGATTTTGATTTCTAACATTTGGGGATCTCAATTCTTAAGACATATATGTATGGATAGGACTCCCAACTGTAGGATCTTCTAGACTTTCACGATCCCCCAACTCCCGATCCTAACAACTATGCTTTAGACCCTTGATATAGTGACATGTGTTGAATGTGACCTATTGGATCAGGTCGGTTAGAGTGTGCTCTATGGAATTGAAAACACTTCCCTTGATTTTATTAAGGTAATTTTCTTTGTTTGGTAATGTCAATGCTCCTATATTCATATAGAGGCTAGTGGTTAGGGAACTCACTTAAGAAAATAAAGCAATGACGTCCTTTTGTATGTTTGTGAGATCCATTCTTGCTTAAAAGTGTGATGGTGTATCTTGCCATTCCTATTCAAATCATATTGTGCATTCTTTTAGTTAATTATGTAATATATCATGTGAAAAAATCCATTGTAAGAACCCTTAAACGTTGTGATAATAATGAAATGTTTCACCTTATCATCATCATCATCATCATCATTAGAGTTTTTTCCCAAATCCTGGTCTACATTTATACCAATAGTTCCTTCAACTGTTATGTTCCCATTGTGTTCGTCATTTAATAATTTTCTAAAATAAACTCTCCACCTTTCGTTGACCTCTTTATCCTTCACCAAGGCCCTTTGAGCCTCACTCTTAATACATTTAATATGGTCTAAATCCCAATACCATTCTGTTCTATCGAGGGCTATACCCTCAGTGAGGCTGTAAATTGCTATGTCCTTTTGGTCCTACCCTTTGCCCTTTTTGAGCTTTCCACTTGAACCAACGTGCACCTTCTATCAGGTGTTATACTGGGTATGTGCTGCACATGGCCAGCCCACCTAAGTTTACTTTCTCTCATCTTATCACTTATTGGAGTCATACCTAAGTTCTCCTGAATGTATCCATTTCGAATCCTGTCCCTTCTAATCTTGCCACTCATCCATCTCAACATCCTCATCTTAGTGATGGAGGGCAAAATTATTATTATTTTTTATTTTTATTCAATTTCAAAGGATGTATGTTATAGTTTTAGTTTTAGAGTTTATTTCTAGGGGGTTTTTATCTTTTTAGGAATTCTAGGGTTTTTTATATTTTTTATGTACTAATCATTGGTTGCTATTCAAAGTTACTGTTCATGGATACTATTCATAAATACTGTTCATAGGGTAAAATTGTCATTACAAAGTTCAAGTTTAAGGTAGGATATATGGGTCAATGTATTATTTCTTTAGACACTTTTTGTATTTGGAATATTAAATTATAATATATAAGAGGTGTGTGGGGCCTTGAGGAGAAAGAGATGAAGTAGGCAGACGAGATAAGTTTCTGGCGACCTCAATCTAGCAATGACACTATATTTGCACCCCTTCATACCCGCTTGGAATCATTCCACATGACTTTTAAAAATTGGAAGAGAAAGAATAGCTTAGGCTTTTGCGTCCTCTGCTTGGTTGTAAAGAATAAACCCTAGGTTTCTTGAATAGTTCTTGTGTTTGGCTTCTTCAAGTTCTCTGCATCACTCAGCTACACTCATTCTATGGGTATGTTATTTCTTGACAGCCCAACATTACGCCCCATAAAGCAAAGCTAGTCTCACAGTTGTCCTATAGAACTTCCCCTTCAGCTTCATTGGTATGCAGCGGTCACATAAAACTCCGATTGCACATCTCCAACTCGCGCACTCAGCTCTAATTTTATGTGCAACATGTTCCTCAATCTTGCTATTTTCGTGGATTATCGACCCAAGATATCGAAAGTGCGCTCTTTTTTGTATTTCTTGGCCATCAATCTTAATTACTTCCTCGTCTCTACGCCTATTATTACGAAACTTGTGTTCCATATACTTTCTTTGTCCGGCTAATTTTTAAACCTTTAGATTCTTGAGCATCCCTCAAATGTTCTAACTTTGTGTTGATGCTGCTTCATCGATCAAAACTATGTCATCCGCGGACGACATACACCACGGTACCTCGTCTTGTTGGTGCCTTGTTAAGTCGTCCATAAGTAAGAAAATGCTTCCCTTGGGTTTTTTTTTTTTTTTGAAATGTAATGCACTATGGTTTTCTTTTTACTTCGCTTCTCTTTTTTGTGTTGTGGGATGGTAATTCTTTTTTTATGAGTTGGTTGAATTTCCCCCTTCCCCGCGGGGTGGGGGGTTGTTCAGTGCAGATTGGCCTCTTTGTGTGTAGCCCAAGAGGCTGAACCTTAGTGTCTTCTTGATGGTTTAACTGCTCTTTTGTTGTCACTTTAGGATGGGTTGCTATTCTCTCCTTTTCTCCTTCCTATCGGGATGAGGACACTCAAGTAAATGAAGAATTTTATCATTCAAACATGCCTATTTCTTTGTGGTTTATATTTGATTTCATCATGTGACGTACAAATTAGGCCTGCATTATAGCTATAAGATATCTAGCTATATATGGTGGCTCATGAATATGTCTGAATGTCATCACATATCTACCTATATATGGTGGCTCATGAATATGTCTGAATGTCATCATGCTGCAGATATTTAACTGCCAAACTGGCTCTTGGATGGAGAATCCGTCTGACTCAGCATTTACTAAAGAACTATTTGAGAAACAACGCACTTTACAAGGTACTTCAATATTGTGTGGCTTAGTAAAGGTCAAAGTTTTCTGCAGAATAAATTAGCTTTTGAATATGAAGAAATGTTGCAACTGCAGAATTTACCATTTGATTTAACAAAGTGAGGGCCAAAAACCTGGTTAGACTTGAATGTATTTGTGATGAGAAGTTTAAATTGATGTTATCTGATTCTAATCGTCTTTGATGAAAGTTTATTATCTTTTTCCTATAAGTATTAATTGTTTTATTTCTGGTTATCTTTTTTCTGTATTTTTTAAAATCTGTGATTTAACCTTGTACTCTACTATGTATGCCTTGTGCTCTCCTATATAGACACGTCTTTCTGCACTACTTTGTAATTTTACGTTTTTCTATTTTTATTGAAAAGCAGTTCACTTGTTTGTTTATTTTTAGGTATTCCACTTGTCGAGTAAAAACATGGATGCAGACCAGAGAATAACACATGATGTGGAAAAAATGACTACCGAACTCTCAGGGCTGGTGACTGGAATGGTGAAGCCATCTGTGGACATTCTCTGGTACGTCATGAGTTTCACATGTACTGTAATCAATTTGAATGATCAGTTTAAAGTTATATTGCTATTATAGAAATGTCTTGCTTCATATTTCCTACTTCAAATTTTTACATATTATGTTTTCTTTTGGTTTAAAATTGTACAGGTTCACATGGAGAATGAAGCTGTTAACTGGGCCACGGGGTGTCATTATACTGTATGCTTATATGCTGTTAGGTTTAGGTTTCCTTAGGAGTGTCACTCCCGAATTTGGTGACCTTGCTAGTAGGGAACAACAGCTTGAGGGAATTTTCAGGTTACTGTTCTGATTAAATTGTTTAGTAAATTTGCCACCTTCTATAATGTGTCTGGTTATAGTTTTTTCTCACTTTGTCATTGAATCCTCCACTTATATCCGATTGAAAGTTTTGGAGTTACCTTGTCCACCATGCTCTATTGAATTCTAATTGCCAAATGTTGGAACTATATACGGCCTAATTTTTGTTCTCATATTTTCTTTTTGTTAAGGTTTATGCATTCAAGACTCCGTACTCATGCAGAATCTGTTGCATTCTTCGGGGGTGGTGCCCGAGAGCGAGCTGTAAGTTCCTTGACTTTTTCACTCACAGTCCTGATAATGATGTATATGTACAATTGTTCTTAGCTAACTCATGACCAGTTGTAAACTTTTTTTCCTGGTAAAATGGGAAGTCTGGGAATGCATTAACTGAATGAAAGAAATTGTCTTGCAGAAATTTGGCATTGAAGGTTGAATTTTATTATCAGAAAAAAAATTCTGAATTTGAATGTCAAAATTTCTGGATGGGCATAGTGAAAATCATGGTGGACAAATTCTGTGCCTTGTCATGTCATGCATCACAATTTTCTACACACATAAAATATATATTTTGTTATGTACTTAATGACATATATTATATATGTGGCTTCTGGACAAATTCTGTGCCTTGTTACGTCATGCATCACAAGTTCTGTACACACATAACATATATATTTTGTTATATTCTTAATGACATATATAATGTATATGGCTTCTTTTTTCCATTGTGATCCATTGTTTACTTCACTTGGCAGATGGTTGATTCACGGTTTAAGGAATTGCTTAGGCACTCAGAGCTCCTCTTGAGGAAGAAATGGTTGTATGGTATATTGGATGATTTTATCACAAAGCAATTGCCCCATAATGTGACTTGGGGATTGAGCTTATTATATGCTGTGGATCACGGAGGAGATAGAGCCTTGACCTCTACTCAAGGTAAAACAGTCAAGGCTATTCATGTTAATTATAATTCAAACTTACCTTATTTAACTTTTTTCCTATATCCGAAAATTTGTGCAGGGGAGCTCGCGCATGCGTTACGTTACTTAGCTTCTGTAGTTTCTCAAAGCTTTCTTGCTTTTGGTGACATTCTTGAGTTGCATAAAAAGTTCCTTGAGCTGTCGGGGGGTATCAATCGGATTTTTGAGCTGGATGAACTTCTGGATGCTGCTCAGAAAGGTATGCCCAAGAATCACTCTTGTACGTCAAAACCGTTCATTTCTGTTATTTATGTGTATGTCAATTTGCTTCATGTCTTCAACCAAATATTCGACGTATTTATGCTATTACTTGATAAGTTGGGAGTTTGGGATCACTGATTGATAAGTTGGGAGTTTGGGAGCTGTATTTATGCATTTGTGTGTGTGGAGAACCTTACCTTTACTGTTGAAGTGTGCCACATTTTATCACAAATACTGGTGCATCCCCCTCTACATACTTTTATTGACTTCTCTATTTTCCTTAATTGTTTCATATTTGCCATTCACCATTTGACAAGTGGTAACCTAAAACCTTGGTTTAAGAGATTTAAAATTGTGTTTGTACTACTGTATCAAAATCTGTGTAGGCACTACAAGTAAAGTGAGAACATCTGTAGCAACAGAAGTAGATGTTTTGAAGAAATCCCTGTTGTAAGTTTGTTTTTTCTGGTGCTTGTGCATGTGAATCCTCCCATTATTTTCTCTATTTATTTATTAGAAATGGCAATTTGCTAAGGAAAAGCACATCTCCCTTTACCAATATTGGAGTAGGGACGGGGGCCACTGGAAGCTCTATCTCTTCCTATGGAAAAGGAAAAGAGTTTTTGTACCACAAGAAAAACAGAAAACTATTATAATTTCTAGAACGAAATATTGAAATTAGAGAAAGAGTTTTGCAGCTCAGGTGTTGTTTTATAGTTGTGGATGTAAAATGTTTTGGGGCAAAATGGAGGGAGAAGACAAATGAGCAAGATGTGGTATGTTAGAGGGTATTGGGTTGTCAGGAATCCTTCATCCTTAGTAGCTATCGAGGGTTTTGTTGTTGGTCAATTCATGCATAAGTCAAGCATGGATGTTGTGAATATCTTATTGAGATATTTGAAAGCATTACCAGGCTATATCTAAAAGTGTCATTCTCACTGCGTTGAAATATTCTGATGTACATTTGGCTGCAAACTAGATGATTGGTGATACACCATGGGAATTAGTCTGGCAATCTGGCTAGTTGGAAATACAAGAAGAACTAAGTATAAATGAGGCTTTTCTGGTAAAGAACAAAGGCCTCCACCGCATATGAGGTTGCATGGCGGCCGTATTAGGAGAGCTTGGGGTTAAGGTCGGTCAAAGTGCATTCTGATAAGCAATCAGCTATACATTTTGTTGCAAATTTAGTATTCCATGAATAACTGCCATTGTCAATTGTCTTGGAGATATTCGCGTTAATAGATTACCTTTGAAGTGAAACAAAAAATTAACTGGCAGACATATTCCCAAAAGCCCCATGAGGTGCAAGATCATGATATTTTAGGCACAATTTGGTCACCTCTAGCATTGATCCTCTGGCTTGAGTTAGGAGTGTTAGTGCATTTAATCTTAAAGCTATTGCAGTATTTGAAATTTCTTCTCACTTCTGTCTTTTTAGTACGTCTCACATTAGTATGGGACTTTCTGAAATCTCGAGTTGTAATGTCACATCTATCTGGCTATGAGTAAACCATATTATTTGAGTCCGAGTCGTGGGGAATCTAATGATAATACATCATCCCTAGAGCATGTCTTTCTTTGATATGCCATCCTCACTCACACACATGGTTCCCATTGAATCTTTCAATTAAAATTGCTGCTTTCTCTCATGGTTCCACATGATGTTGTCAGTCTGGGTTTTCTGAAAACCTGATACTTCTTTGGCATCAGAAATTTGCAAGGAGAACAGTATGGAAGAACAAAATGATAAAGTTCATGGTGTGCTCATTTGTTTTTTTCTTTCTTGTTTGGATAAACTGCCATACTCATTGTCTAGAGATACATATGTTACTCTTCTCATCTTCAACAACTATCATGCACTACTAAGTATTTTGAAGTATTCATATTGATTGGTCGAATTGCATAAATACGTCAACACAAAATTAGAACTTTGGGCGGATGCTCTAGAATCTAAAGGTTTTAAAATTAGCTGCACTAAGACAAAGTATATGAAATGCACTTTTAGTAATAATGGGAGCATAGAAACTGAAGTAGTTAAGCTTGATGGCCAAGAAATACCAAAAAGAGCGCACTTTTGATATCTTGGGTCGATAATCCAAGAAAATGGAAAGATTGAAGAAGATGTCGCACATAAAATTAGAGCTGGGTGGGCGACGTGGAAATGTACAACCGAAGTTTTATGTGAATGCCGCATACCAATGAAGTTGAAGGGGAAGTTCTATAGGACAACTATGAGACCAGCTTTGCTTTATGGGTGGAATTTTGGGCAGTCAAGAAACAACATATCCCCAGGATGAGTGTGGCTGAGATGAGGATGTTGAGAGTGGCAAGACAAGAAGGGATAGAACTTGAAATGAATACATTAGGGAGACCATGGGTGTGGCTTTAATAGGCGATAAGATGAGAGAAATTAGAATTAGATGGATTGGCCATGTGCAACACAGACTTAGTACAACACATGTTAGGAGGTGCGAGTTGGTTCAAGTGGAAGGCTCAAAAAGGGCAAGGGTAGGCCCAAAAGGACGTAGTTGGAAGTAGTGAGAAAAGATATAGGGACTTATCGCCTCACTGAGAGTATGGTCCTTGATAGAGCAAAATAGCAGTCCAAGATTCATGTAGCCGATCTCAAATAGTTGGGAAAAGGCTATGATGATGATCATGATGATGATGGTGTTTGAAGAGAACATTTTCTATTATTGTTTTACAAAATAAAATATTAAAGAATGTTGTTTTACCGATAGTTATAGAAGACCTGTTATGTTGCATATTGGTCATTATTCTTGGATTTATCTAGTTTGGTTCACTTGGCAATATGCATCTCTTGCAATTCAGGCTGGCCATCTATGAAACTTAGAAGAATAAGAATATCAAACCTACCAATGAGAAGTAAAATGAGATTCCCCTATCTTTTAATAGCTTAAACCATTCAATAAGGAGTTTTGAGATGTTAGAGCTTGGAGATTTAATTCATTCTCTGAATGGTTCTTTCCAGTATTTCCCGTATGATTTGTTTACCCATTTATGGCCTCATTATCTTTCTATTGTGACAAGTAATTCCGATCAAGATTTATCATTTTATTTGCTTCTCCTTTGTATTGCATACCCATTTATGGCCTCATTATCTTTCTATTGTGACAAGTAATTCCGATCAAGATTTATCATTTTATTTGCTTCTCCTTTGTATTGCATCTCATAAGCATTTTGTATGCAGATTTCTCTGATCTTGATTCTCTAGCAAGGAGTGACAGAAGCAACGGACCGGCTTGTGAGGATCTGATCTTCTTCTCTGAAGTGGATATTATTACACCAACACAAAAGTTGTTAGCCAGACGACTGACAATGGACATAACCCCAGGGAAGAGCCTGCTCGTGACCGGTTAGTGACAAGAGAACTGTCGTTCAGAATAATTGTTTATAAGGAAAACTTTGCTAGTCCAATAGAACATGAAAAACCATAGATTGTCGCAGTCATGACTGTTCGGTGAAATGATGTACAGTGATGTTGAGTGGGACTGAACAACTACAAGACATGCAGCAATTTGTGCATCCTACTCTCTCCATTACTGTCCATCATTTTTTGAATGCTCATGGCCCCAATGGACTATGGGAACCATGGTATACTTCACCTTTGTTTAATGCCCCAATGGTCCAAGGATTATACTTGTCTTTTTGCAGGTCCCAATGGGAGTGGAAAGAGTTCAGTATTCAGAGTCCTTCGAGAGCTTTGGCCTATTGCAAATGGAAGACTTTTGAAACCGAGTCATATTATTGATGAAAACAGAGGAACAAAGTGTGGTGTGTACTATGTTCCTCAGCGGCCTTATACATGTCTTGGAACCTTACGAGATCAATTAATCTATCCTCTCTCTCTCGATGAGGCATTACAGAGGGTGTCAATTATCCCAACACAAGGTACACATTTTATTTTGGGTGCACTGAATTAAATTGAAAAGGGGAGTCTGTCTCGTGGTAAAGTGTACTATAATCTAGTGGATAGTGGAAAATCTTAGTTCATTGGGGTCATCAACCATTTGAATGGACTGTCGTGGTGAGAGTGAGAGCCACCATGTGTCCTAAGGCTGTAAGGGTGGGTCCCACTGTCCATCCCACTATGATTTTTCATAGTCCATTAAATTATATGTTACATTCCTAATACTCATCAAATGATCTCAAATACACCTCTAATGCCTTTGGTAGTTTTGTATATGACTTTTGAAGGAACTGTATTGGTACACCCTCACAGTTCTTCATAAAACATAGTTATTAAGAAAAAAAGAAAAACAAAAAAAAAAGAACTTCTGGTAACCAGTATGTACTATTGGTTTAGCTGAAGGTGTATGTCTTGACATTGCACGTGGAGAGACAGATAGGGTTTATATCTTGGATTCTAAGTTGAGATCCATACTCGAGAGTGTTCGCTTGATCTATCTCTTGGAAAGGGAACACGATGGTTTCGATGCTGCACTTAATTGGGAAGATATTCTCTCCCTTGGGGAACAACAGAGACTTGGAATGGTGAGCGGTTATAGACAATCCTGGTCTTTTGAGCTAATGTAGAATTTATGGACTTGCATTCTCTCTCTCTCTCTCTCTCTCTCTCTCCTGCTAATTTATACTTTTTTCTTTGAATTAATGTTACCTTTGGTTATTGCCCTTTCCAGGCTCGTCTTTTCTTCCATAGTCCAAAATTTGGCATCCTTGACGAATGTACCAAGTATGCCTGGAACACTAGTCCATCTGAATTTTTAATGACATGGACTATCTGATCCTTATTGTGGGTTTTTTTCGAATTGACAGTGCGACAAGTATTGATGTTGAAGAACACCTTTACAAGATTGCACAATCGATGGGTATTACTGTTGTTACCACCTCACAAGTAAGCCTCTCTCTCTCTCTCTCTCTATATATATATATATATATATATATATATATATATATATACTATATACTATATTGTTCGTTTATACGAGTAGTAGTAACTAACTTACGTTCGTTTACTTACGTTAGATGTAGTAGTAACGTAACTAACCTA